AAGTTTTCAACAGTTCCATATTATAAGGATTAAAATAATCAGAAAAATCCATAACATTTCCACTTAATTTATGTGAATCGTATAGGAAGAGAAGCAGTACAAAATAATATATTCGTAAAAAATAAAGTAATTTTGATTAAAAACAAAAGAGAAGGAAAATAAACATCTAATCCGAGGGTGATATTTTGGTCAAAATTAAAATAATAATAAAATGTAAATCACCTTTACTGTTCACATTTTGATTTTATACTTATATTCTGTTTTTATTACTTTTATAGAGGAAACCGTCAGCTGCAGCAAATGCCAGTCCAGTTTCAATTCCTCCAGAAAAAAGAAATGGAGATGAATGAAAAAAACAAGCATTTTTTATGAAAAATATACTGCGTGTCACAAAAATGTATTATTTTTCACCATTTTGATCTGTTTTCATCACATATTTGAAACCACATGCACCGCTTGAAAATGTTTTATGTATATGTTATAAGCATGACTATAAATAACGGGAAACTAGATTACAACTCCTGATCTTTTTATGACTTCTGACTTTTTTACAAAAAAAGTAAGTATTAATTGTCTAGAATTTTGCTTATGAATCGTTGGATATCACAAATGCTTACTCAAAGATTAGAAACTATAGCATTAATTCAGTCAAAGTCATATAAATTAAAACCTGTTAAACTATTAAAAATTTTTAAGATAGAACCAAGCATACAAAATTATCAACAACTGAATAGAAATTGTAAATTAATTTTATAAGCATTTAAATTGTAAATTAAGGCAGAGATTTCATGGTTCTTACTTTTTTTCAGCGGGCTACGGACTTAGCGAATGTAAGTGCCAGGAACTTTGGTTGGTTTCTTAGGAACTCAGGCTGGTTCTAATGAAGGAGAAGGGAAAGATCCATAACGGACCTAGATAGGCTAAATGTACTCTTTGGCCGCGTTACCAAACCTAACCTAAACTGTTAATTATGTATATAATATTCAGGTTGCTCCTCTTTGGGGTTGACTTTATATCCCAAAAATTAGAGTTGATCTGTTAATTTAATTTCGACTAAATGAACTGTAATACAAGTAAAAATGTTATACCCTATATTGTAAATAGAAAATAGTGGAAGTAAAGTTTGTGATAGTAAAAAAAAAAACTCCAAAAAGAAGGAATTCTTAAGTATTGATCTTTTTAATAAAAATTGAAATTGTAGATTTCAACACTTCATTTAAAAATTACGGTATAAGAAATTTTTGCCAATTCTTGTAGAACTTATGCAGAGGATTTTTTCGTATTATGAAAAGAGAGGCGCGTACTGCAATATTTTATATGAGAGTATAGTGTTGTAAAGAGATGTATTAAAGAGATTAATCTCTTTAAATGTTGTAAAGAGATTAAAAAATTAATACCGTTAATATTAATGTGATCAGTATATTTGAATATTTCGTACAATCCTTAATTTATATATTAAATTTTGCCAGCAATATTCCTCTAATTGTAATATTAATATTGAAAGTTTTCTTAGCCACTTCATTCAGTCAAAATGCCTATTAAATACTCATACTTGGCACCTTCCAAAATTTTTTATTTTAAATAAATTCAGAATTTTTTAACAATTTTTTCTCCCTCGTAAATATTTTTCAAAGTATATAAAATGTGTACATTTATCTCAATCTAATTCTAGGTATACAAAAAGTAAACAAAAAAATTAACTAATACTCACAAACCCGCACTCACATTATTTTCTCTGTATTAGTAAACAATTAAATTTTAAATTAAATTTAGCAGCTTTCATAGACTTTTCATCGACAAATTATAAACATTGTAAAATAATTGATAAACAAGTGTAAATTCAAAATTGTATAAGATTAAGAGGATACGAATTCGGCCGAGAACCATAAGTACTACGAGAGTAAAAGATCACAAAGCGCGTAAATATGTAGCAATTCAATAAAATCTGCTGTATTACTGTTATTGTTGACAATAAATTACAAAACAATATCTTTTTTAAGTAAAATATATTTATAAATATATTTATGTAATGTGTACAACTACCTGAAATAATTTTAATTAAAAACAGAAGAAAACAAAAGAGAAAATGTGTAGAGAGCAATAAGAAAAAATAGCAAAAGAGAAGAAAAGTCATAACAATATTATTTTTGCCTGATAAGCACGAACTGAGAGAATTTAGTTTTATTTAATAAAAGAAATCTATCACAAGATTTTTGGCCACAAAATTATGCGTGTAAACACCATTCATTAATTTACATGCAAAAATTGAAACGCTCCCTTTCTATTAGCATTTGCCTCCCTTTCTAATAGCATTTGAAACGCTCCCTTTCTATTAGCATTTGGCACTAAATATATTATGAGCATTATACCCAGCAAATTATGTTACTTGTGTTTAAAAAGTGACTTTTGTATCAATAGTCAAACATACGTTTCATTCCTTTTGTACACAAGCTTTGATGGCAAAAATGCAAGGGTAATGAAACGTATGTCAACCATTGACGCAAAAATCGTTCTGTAAACACAGCTAATAGTTTGTAGTTAATTAAAAATAAAGAATTGTAATGAGATTTAAAATCCGAATTCCACACTTGACGATATTTACACTATTTTGTCGTCCCTGTAGTTTACTGTAAATTTTAAAAGGTAAATTATTGTTATTTTCCCCCTAAGATTCAAACACTGTTTTGGCATATTTTTGTGTTAACGGTGAACCCATTAATTTCGTTACTTCTTACCTTTAAATTTTTTTTTTTTTTAATATAACTAAGATTCTTTAAGGACCTATTTATAAGAGCTAAAAAAAATGTTTTTTTTTGGAGCGTGAAAATTTTTATTATTAGTTTAATTTTAGTGTTATAAGTATAAAGTATATATGTATGTATATACTTGCGTATTTACATAAATAAAACAATAACGACCATTGAACGAGTTTTTTTGTTTAAGCTTACCGTTACTCTTTTTGCTTTTATATTTCGCCATTTTTACTGTTTTATTACACAATTATTACACTTTTTTTTGTGCTACTCTTCTAAACAATTATTGTTTTATCTGCCTATGGATGGTATGAATGTATTTTGCTTGTGTGTGTGTGTCTGTATAACAAATAAAATATGTGGAAAAATTAAAATACAAAAATTAGAAACTTTTTTCTTATCCTTATAATGGATAATTTATATTCATCATTATTATAATTTTAATTAAAACGTGCAAATATGCAAATAAATATTCTCAGTAATTTATGAAAATTTCCCATCTGTTGTCATTATTGCCATATTTTAGTGTTATACCGGTAAAGTTCGCTTTTTTTGTTCCTGTTTCATGCAAATAATTAAAAATTAGTTTATAAAATATGCCAAGTATAAGATTTTTTTAATATGTTACATAAATGAATGTGGATTTAAGTCATTTGATCCCGACAATATATAAAATAATATTTTCGTTCTATACTTGCCTGTTCAAACAACTCATAAATAGCCAAAACTGAGCCACAACCATACTACCTCGAAGTAATACCTAGATGATCGGTTCAGTTACGTTATTTTTTTCCGGTAAATGGAAATCGTGTATTTAATTTACAACAGATGGATGACTTAAGGATGGAAACAAAAAATTTAAGTGAAATGAAAAGTTTTTAACTGTTACGAGTATTCACTGTAAAATATGTAACTGTTATTTAAGTAAATTTCGTTTTAAAAAAATTAGTTACGTTAGCAATGTTATTGGACGGTTTATGTAGAAATGAATTTTTTGTATTGAATTCCGTGGCGATATAGATGAAAATTAATTGACGTGATCTTTTACAATTGAGGCGAATGCAAGTATCGTGTACATACATCGGACTGAGTCCCTCAAAAAATAATTTTTAATTCTTATTCTTAACAGATATATTTTAAAAAAGAAGCCAGGCTCCACCCTGTCTAAGTATACAAAAATTAGGAAACATATTTTGTGTCTGTTCTAAGGCGATATTTGAAGGAATACACTTCAGGCCCGAGATGGTACTCGTCGATTGTGCAGATAAGGAGACAGCTGAATCGAACGAGCACGAGCGCCAGTTCTGGGTACATGGAGCGGACCAGAATTGATGGCAAGGACCAGTCGTGGCGTGGGCCAAGCCTGGGAAAAAACACTGGCCATCTTCCAGGCGCAAAACGGGGGAATACACACCCGGGTCTGGAAGCTGATGGGGCAGCGAGAGGACGGTGGCGGAAAGGTTCTCCGAATAGGGATCGATGACTCTTCCGCAGAAGCCATTAGACGGGGCGGTCACATTCTACGGTACCGATTCGGGAAAATCCCTGTACACGGGCTCAGAATGGGGCAGCCCGAAAGATCAGGGTTGATGGAATCCTCGGCGGGCCGGGTAGAATCGCCACGGGAGTCATATGATCCCAAAAAGGAATCGGCGGACGAGGGGGTCTTTCCGAGGGATATGAAACCCCGGAAGAGGGGTGTCCCCCTTCATTAACGACGGAGCAGCTGATGGATAACCTGGAGCTAACTCTTCTAAGTCTCAGGGAGTCCTTCCCAGAGAATGACGTCCCGATGGCAGGGGAAGATCACCCTACCAGTCAACTCAACAAATGAGGGACGAAGGCTCCAGGGTCGCTCAGGTGAATGTCCACCACGCCAGAGCAGCTTCGGCTGTTCTGGCAAGGATGTTCACCAAGGAATATCTGGGCATAGCCATGGTACAGAAGCCCTGGGTATACAGGGGGCACATGAAAGGATTGTCAATTAGGGATGCGCAGGTAGTATGGGATTATGGGCAGGACCGGCTCAGGACTTGCATTCTAATTAGAAAACATATTAACTTTATTTTACTTTCAGAGTACATGACAAGGGACCTCACACCTGTCAGGTTCCGCATTAATGTTGGGGGCAAGGACTTGGAGATAGTGCTCGCATCAGCTTACTTTCCGGGGGATGGAGCATCCCCTCCGCAACCGGAGGTACGGGGGCTTGCGGAGCAGTGCAATAGGAAGAGGTGGCCACTCATCATGGGCTGTGATGCAAATGCGCATCACGTTGCATGGGGGAGCAGCGACAACAATACTAGGGGTGAGTCCTTATTAGAATTTGTAGTTAAAGAAAACCTAGAAATATTTAATGTAGGGAATGCCCCAACATTTGTGACTAGGGTTAGAGAGGCGGTACTGGATATCACATTCGGCAGTCCGAATGTGGGGTTTCTTGTACGCGACTGGAAGGTATCGGGGGAGGTTTCTATGTCAGATCATAAAATCATCCGGTTTTGTCTGGGTGGGTTGATGGAGAAGAAGTCTTCCTTCAGAAATCCGAGGCGGACAAACTGGGAGGGATACAGAAGGGACCTGAAGGCAAAACTGTCGGGTGCCTCGGTTAGAACTGTGGCCAGGCATCCCCTGGTGTTGGAAAGGGCTGTGGAGGAGCGCGGGGGAATTATGGTCGAAGCTTTTGAGTCGAACTGCCCCATTAGTGTGCCAAGGGATTTCACAGATACACCTTGGTGGGCCACGCGATTAGAAAACCTGAGAGTTGGGGTTAGCAGGCTTTTCAATAAAGCTAAGCGAGAGGGTACTTGGGAAGAGTATAAGATGAACCTGACAGCAAGGAAATCCGCAGGGCCAAGCGCAGAAGCTTTAGATCATTCTGCGGGAGCATTGCGGAGACGCCGGCGGCTGCGAGGCTGCACAGAGCCCTGGCTAGAGACAGGGTGCCAGTGACTGTTTCTTTAAGGAGGCCGGATGGTGGCTACACGGAGAACGAGGAGCAAAGGGCTCTTCTCCTCCTGGAGGCGCATTTCCCTGGCAGTACTCCGTATGCAGAACACCAGGTCCTGAGGATTGGCGGAGAACTGCGCGCATAATTACGGAGAAAAGGATAAGGTGGGCTCTTGGCACTTGCCAGCCCTTCAAGGCGTCGGGAGTGGATGGGATTTCACCAGCACTTCTGCAACGCGGGCTGGAGCCAATTATGAATTTCTTAATAAGAATATTTAGAAGTAGCTTGGCTCTCGGATACATTCACGAGTCCTGGCGGGTGGCTAGGGTTGTCTTTATTCCCAAAGTGGGAAGAAGGGACATGGTGCCAAAGTCATTCAGACCAATTAGCCTCACTTCGTTCTTATTGAAGACGATGGAGAAAATAATCGATAACCATGTCCGAGTGGGGGTGCTGGAGAGGAGGCCGCTGAGCGATTGCCAGCATGCGTATCGGGCGAGGAGGTCAACAGAGACTGCTCTGTTTCGCCTTGCCAGTACCTAAAAAGCACAATAGAACAGGTAGAGGTGGCGCTATGCGCGTTTCTGGACATCGAGGGGGCCTTCGACAACACTTCTCATGAAGCGATTGCGGGCGCCCTGAGGCGTAGAGACGTGGATGATGGCACCTCTCTATGAATGTCCAATATGTTGGCTACGAGGGTAGCAGAGACTGCTGGGGACAGAGCACAGAAGAATCCGTGTGGGTAGGGTATGTCCACATGGTGGGGTTCTGTCACCGCTAATGTGGAGTTTGGTAGTGGATGAACTCCTTGATGAGCTGTTTCGTCAAGGAATCGATGTCCAGGGTTATGCCGATGATATAGTCATCATCGCTAGAGGTAAGTTTGAGGGAACTCTTTGTGATATAGTCCAAAGGGGATTACGGGTGGCCCGGACCTGGTGCGATACAGTGGGCCTCAGGCTTAACCCTGACAAGATGACCCTGGTGCCTTTCACTAGGAGAAGGAAGCTGGAGCATCTGCGCACAATATACGTGTGCGGAGCGCCTGTAGAGAGAAAACCGGAGGTCAAATACTTAGGAGTGGTGTTTGATTCCAAGCTTCTTTGGCGAAGTCACGAGGAAGCTGTGTGTACACGGGCAACCCGGGCACTTATGGTCTGCAGGGCCATCTCGGGCAGGTCGTGGGGCTGCTCCCCGTCTGTCATGTGGTGGATGTATACCATGATGGTCGTGCCGCTCCTAACTTATGGAGCAGTGGCATGGGCAAGAAGGGTGGCTCTTGGTACGGCTAGAAGGAACCTGGAACGATTGCAGAGACTCGCATGCGTCTGCATCACAGGGGCTATGAGAACTTGTCCAACGGCGGCAATGGAGGCGATTTTGGGACTAAACCCCTTGCACCTTGTTGTGGAGATGGCAGCGAAGGTTGCCATTTTCAGGTTGGGGAAAAATGGAGCCGGAATAATCGGTGTGAGAGATCGGGGTCGTCTTGTGGGGGAGGCTCCGCTCCCATCGATGCCTAGAGACGACATGGTAAGGAGATACAGCTTCGAGAAAAATTTTGCCTCGTTGCTGAGTAACAGAAGGGACTGGAAGCGTGACTTTTCGGGCCTCCCAGGTGGAACACACGTTATTAGGTGGTATGCAGGAGGGTCAAAGACCAGTACTGGGACGGGTACGGGGGTATTTGGGCCAAGGACCAAATTCTCCGAACCTATGGGAACTTTTCCGAGTGTGTTTCGGGCTGAGTTGCACGCCATTGAAATGTGCGTACGGTTCAGCCTAGAAAGGGGGTATCGGGGAAAGGAAATAATGATTATGTCGGATAGGCGGGCTGCGATCGGAGCGCTGAACTCGTTTTCAGTATCCTCCGCGGCAATATGGGGCTGTCTTGAGAAGCTCAATGAGTTAGGCAGATGCAACCGGGTCACACTGTGTTGGGTGCCGGGCCATGTGGGCGTGGAAGGAAATGGGGCCGCTGATGCGCTTGCGAGGAAGGGGGCAGGCACACCTCTTCTATGCCCACCTCCTGGGGGATTGTGATGCTCTTGCTCGTAGGAAAGGGTAGGTGCTGGGAAGCTTTGCTCTAACGGTGGCGGAGTTACGGTCTTCTTGTCTTCACAAGTTGCTTGAGTTCATCAGGGGGGTTGGTCTCGAGCGTGTGTTGTAGGGTATGCCCCACACTCGAGTGGGGGCGCGATCGCGGTGCATTGTTGCCCCCGTTGCACAAATCTACAAATCTACAAGGCGATATTAAGAAATCGGATTGTCTAGTATAACTCGGCAAAAATCATACATATAATTAGATCTAATTTCTATTCATTGACCTCTGCCTGCTTCCATAACATTTTTAAAATTTGAAGTACCTCGTTGTGTTTACATAATGTATACGAGTAAATGCTTATATTTAGTAACTAACAAAGTCAGAGTTTTGTTTAGAGAAACAAAATTCTACAGTGTCTAGCCTAAATGACGATAATTATGTACATATTATATTCTATATACTCGTACATATACTCGTTATAATTATATACCCGGTTATATTCAACACTCATCCACTTCTTTTCTATTATAGCCTATTTAAACAGAAGCATTACTAAAGAATAATGAAGGTAATTTTCATCTAAAATATTTTTCTTTACTGTTACCAACGAAAAGAGACTGAGTTAGGTAGTTGTAGACATAAAAAAAAGGGAGAAAAAACAAAATGATAAGCTGAGAATTTGTAAAATAGTTTATTTGCCTTTTAACTGCTTTATTTTTATTTGATGACATTAATAAAGTAGTATCTGTATATTAATTTTACTTCTGTTCATTTCTGCCCTGTCTTTCAAGTTAAATTTTGCTAACTGAACACTTTTCATTTCAAGAGGACCTATAGTTAGTATCCTTAAAAATTTTGCTTCTTTTGTACTATTTTGCTTTTTGTTTCTTTCAAGAACTTGTCTACAATAAATGTCTGATTGCTGGTATATTTTACTTGTTGGAAAAGTATATATAGTTTTCTCTTGATATCTATATCTATCATAACCATCGTTATTACTTTATCGTCAAACTGTTGAGTTCGTATATTTTGTTGTTCGTAGAAAGTTAACAATCTAAAAAAATGAAGAAACAAAATTTGAAAAGAGAAGATGATGTTTTCAAGTTGTTGCAACTATGAAATTTGTGAATTTTTTTCTTATTGACGATTCTGTTTTTGCAACCTTGTGGACTTATTTTAATTTAAGGACAGTTCGTATAAGCTTATGTCATATTGTAAATATTATGCCAAGGAACTTGATTTTTTACATAGCAGTTACATAAAAATTTACTCGTGAAATAATAATGGTAAAGGTTATGTTAGAAAGGGATTGTTCTCAATATTACATGATAACGTTTTGTGAGGACTGTGGAGGAATCGGACAAATTTGATAATTGAAGGCTTATTTCAGAAGAATACATGCCCAACTACCTGAAATTTAAGGAATTTTAATATTGTGCGACCATTTATGAGCATTAAAGGGATATTGTATAAATAGAAGATAAAACATACTAGCATGATAGTGGCATGGTGTTACAAGGCAGTAAATAACAAAAAACTAGCTATTACTTTATAAAATGTAATTTTTCTTGATTTTTATATAATGCTAGTACCCCGCAGCAGTTACACTTCGTCGAATTTCTGTGATTTTCCTTCCTAAACTGGGAGTGTTAGTGCGAACTTTACACAGTATCACTTAGTTCCAGATTGACCTTTGAAATATTGAGCTCTTAATGGTAAGTTAAGTCAAAGATAACAAAATATCAGGCACATCTTCAATACGAAAAACTAATATGTAGCCAACTTGGATTTAAGTTTGCCCTTAATATTTCAACTTCTTTTCACTTTTTATTGGACTTTAATACAGTTATTATATACAATATCTTTTTTTAAGAATTCATTAGAAGAGTTATAAATTTTATTTAAGTCCATATAATAAATCAAATAACAAGCAATGAGATTGAATTTTTCAAATAAAAAAAAGCAAAAAAATCAGAAAAACTTTTCATTTATTCCAATTAGAATGATTTCTATGATTTCTTAATAAGGATGTTGAACAAAATAAAGTCTTGTCATCTCACACGTCCTAAATCTAGTAGAAGTTGTGTATAAGTTTTGATATTTTGTTTTTATTTTTTATTTGGAAACTTTATCAAAGTTAAAATGATTGGTGTCTCGTTTGATTGAATGGAATTTTCTACAAAAAAAGTTTCTCTTTGCTATTGTAAGATTTGTAAATTGCTCTTTCATAAATTTTGTTCATATTTTATAACCTAAAAACTTGTTGAATCTTAATATTTCCTTTACAGTATCCGTTTACACTCAAAAAATAACTTGTTTCGTATCTTTTTAGAAGAGCTGAAAGAAAAATATAATTTTGTAATTTGTCGCATAGTACGTTATTTGTGAGGATACGTGAAAATTATTCGTATGTAAAATAAAATAAGACCAATGTAATTATAATAATTTTTCGATTGTAGAACTAAAACTAACTGAACAATTAATAATTTTCGGAGACTTTTGCCTTAAATTCTTGAGATTCTTCAGATTATAAGGGTACAGCTCATTCTAAATTATATAAGATTTGCAAAGTGTTGAAATTAAGATTTTAAATATTTATATTGATTGTAAAAGAGTATTGCAAGATTAGACTAATACCAAATCTGTTCGTCGTCCATACTTTTCCTACCGTCCGTCCATACTTCACACTTTGCATGTTTGCAAAATTTCTGCACCCTATAGTTAAGAAAATCTTCAGCCCCCTCCCCTCCTCTACAATTAATATTTCATCAAAATCTTGAAAATTGTTGACTATTAATTAGGAGTAAACCACAAACTTTTTTTAGATTCTGCAGACATAGAAAAGTATAGCGGTTAACTTCTTTCATTTTCTCATATCACGGCAAATGTGATGTTATCAAAAAATATCATTACACAACTTAACTCAAGCCTTTAAATTCGATCGTTCTGTCAACA